CTACTCACACAGCAGCTTAGGAATGCAGGCACCCAGAATGGTACGCATGTGCACTCCGACGACCTCACCCTCCATCGCCCTCATTCTCCGCTATCCTCCGCCTTCCGCTTCCCACTCTCCGCCGCCTTCCGCCCTCCGCTTCCCACTCCCCGCTGCTCGCCCTTCCGTTCCTCCATCCAAAGCACAATTTCGTACTTGGAGCTTGAAGATATCCACAGCGACGTTAGACTTCGAGAGGGAAAATGGTTCGGGGCATCGAGGTGAGCATGTAGTTGAATAGCTAGTGCAGGTCGTGTATTGTAGTAGAGTACTGTAGTGCAATAATATATCGGGCAGTTTTCAACCCCTCACATGCATACGAGAGCTGGGCTACACTAGCTAGGCCAAAGTGAGCCGATGGAAATTGCAGGGGAAAACTGACCGCCAATGGGTTGGATAATTCACCTCAGAATCGGATCCGCTGCTATCATGGCGGAGGGTCAATCGTTTCACTTTTCGGGCCAATACCACCTCAAAAGATAAACTCATATCCGGCTCATTTGCATCTCACTGTGGTGCTTTTGACCTCATATACAGATGTATCTGTCCCAAAACTTTGCTGACTTTTCGGGTGAAGGGAACCTCAACCGCTCGCCATAGTGCTGGGACGGGCATCGCGTAGTTCGATTTCGTCTGATCGCGCGTGTGGCCGTCTTTCTCCACAGACCCTCCTTCATCTCGTCCTCCCTCTTTGACTTCATCGCAATTTGGTCTGCTCGACACCTGAAGCAAGCGGAGCCCTCAATGATCCCCATATTTCGTCGTCGCACGATGGACGGATCCGAGTCGTAGTATGTTTTGGCGGTTCGCTCTTCATTGGATTCATCTGACTGAAGTACCTTCATCCCTTGCCCACTCATACTCTATCCACACCTCCTCCTCCTTCAGCACGTTTTCAACGATCGACGACAAGGAGGACCAAAATGCCGCAACTTTGGACGAGAGTAAAGAACTGCAGCCGCTGTCGCCAATTCCACGTGGCGACGACCCCATCAATCTGCGCCTCCAGCACAACGCCTCGCAGCCCGTCAATCGCCTTCCTCCTGAGCTGCTACAGACCATCTTCGGTATGATGGATATCGACGGCGAGGGCTGGCCTGACGAACTGACCGTGTGGCCACCCGCCGTGATGCTGGTTTGCGGCTACTGGCTGCGCGTAGCCTTAGGCACATCGGCCCTGCGGGCAGAACTAGACATCGAACATGCACCCGCCCTCGCCTTGTACCTCAGCGAACGCTTTACGGAAGGGCCGCTGCGCATTGATTGGCACACTCAAAGACCCAAAGGGCCATCAGATCAATCTTTGGCAGCGATCGGCCAGATCCTGTCCAAACACACCGCACGGTTCACCTGCCTCAGAATCTCGCTGCGAACGTGGCACAAGGCCGTTGAGGAAGCTTTATGTCAGGTTCAGCAGCACGCACCCGCTCTGCAATTACTCGTCATCGAGTTCTATGGCTCGGAAGAAGTCCGGACGTCTGCTTCCATCATCGCTCGATTCTGCTCTCTTGATGCTCCGGCGCTCAAATTATTGACGATATCACCCTCTTTCCCTTGCATAAGGGGGTCAAACATCATGAAATCGCCTTGCCTGCGCAAGCTGACTGTTCGTCGTGGTCAGATCGACCGGGTTGAAGGCACAACAGCTGACATCATCGCATCCCTCGAGACCCTGCCGATGCTGGAATGTCTAACCTTGGACGATTGCTTACCTGTCGAGCGAGGTCCAAGGTTATCAACGTCGGTGGCTGCATTGCCATCTCTTCGAGAGATAAGTCTTCACGGGAAGACAACGGAATGCACCTTGATCCTTGAAGATCTACTCCTGCACCGTCGGGAGCCGTTCGCGAAGTTAGAGGTGGAATGCTACGAGGCGGATAACAAGGATTTTATCTCTCATATGGTTGATCTCTGGCGGCTGATCCAAGCAAATTATCGGCGTCCGGATTATTGGCGGCTTCAAATCATGCTGTTCAGGTTCGCGATTATGGGCGGCGAGCCTTTCAAGGATCGCAGCGGTAACCGTGTTTTAATAACCCTGAGAAACCTCCTTAAAGAGGATGATTTCCCTCCTATTCTCCTCGCCATCGACCGCCTATTCAAACAAACCAAGACCCCTTTATCGACCCTCACTCTTTCGGGATGGCCGGACGTCCTCTACCAGAACTATCGAGACGAAGAGAGGTTACGAACGATCCTTTCTATTCATCCGTCTGTACAACATCTGCGTATCCTCGGAGACGATTGTGTGGCGGCTGTTCTAAAGGTGCTAGGCAGAGCCGCCGATGATCCAGGGGAGGATCCTGCCAGCAAAGTGCTCCCGAACATGGTTTCCATGGAAATCCGGGACGCGGTGAACGGTGAGCGATTCTCGTGGTTCGACATGTGCCGCGCCGTGGTCGAAAGACGGCGGCAGGCCTCGTCGCAGGCAGTCGCGGAGCCTATCTTCCAGTCTCTCACTTTCAAGCGTTGCCATGGCATCGGTATTCAAGAACTGGAAGCGCTGAGGACGGTGGTCCCATGGGTGCACGTAGCGGACTAATAGTAGAGGGTACTGCTATCACTACTGCACGCTGTTGCGCCTCCTGCTTTCAGGGGAATACACTTTCTGATACCGCGGCGAAAGCGCGCTACAAGACATGCTTTCATCGTTCACCCTGTCCAACAACTACGCATGCATGGACACGAATGCATGACAACTCTGATGAAGGTCCTACGCGCCAGTGCTCCACCCGAGCAGGACACTCCAATCCGTCTCTTTCCGAATCTCGTTTCCTTTGATCTTATCAGAGCCGCAAATGACGAGCGTCTCTCTTGGTCGACATGTGCCGTTCGGAAGTCGAGACACTATGGCGAGCGGTTGAGGTTCCCTTCACCCGAAAAGTCAGCAAAGTTTTGGGACAGATACATCTGTATATGAGGTCAAAAGCACCACAGTGAGATGCAAATGAGCCGGATATGAGTTTATCTTTTGAGGTGGTATTGGCCCGAAAAGTGAAACGATTGACCCTCCGCCATGATAGCAGCGGATCCGATTCTGAGGTGAATTATCCAACCCATTGGCGGTCAGTTTTCCCCTGCAATTTCCATCGGCTCACTTTGGCCTAGCTAGTGTAGCCCAGCTCTCGTATGCATGTGAGGGGTTGAAAACTGCCCGATATATTATTGCACTACAGTACTCTACTACAATACACGACCTGCACTAGCTATTCAACTACATGCTCACCTCGATGCCCCGAACCATTTTCCCTCTCGAAGTCTAACGTCGCTGTGGATATCTTCAAGCTCCAAGTACGAAATTGTGCTTTGGATGGAGGAACGGAAGGGCGAGCAGCGGGGAGTGGGAAGCGGAGGGCGGAAGGCGGCGGAGAGTGGGAAGCGGAAGGCGGAGGATAGCGGAGAATGAGGGCGATGGAGGGTGAGGTCGTCGGAGTGCACATGCGTACCATTCTGGGTGCCTGCATTCCTAAGCTGCTGTGTGAGTAGGGCTACTCGTGTTTTGGTGAGTTGGCGGGGCATTCACAACGAGTGTATGAGGGTGGATGAGGACACATCGTGCCAGGGACCGGGCGAAATGAGGCAAGCTTTATACACGCCTATGGCTCAAATGTCTTCCGCAAGGATGATAAGCGTGGAGCGAACAAACTTGGGCAGAGCAACCCCAAGTTTGGAGGTCACCTTAGGGCCAGCTCTATTGAAGTTGAGAATCCCGGCATGAATTGGTAGATATGCATAAGCAGTG